TTCAAAAAAAAGAGAAAAAGTATAGTCACAGAGAGGAAGAGTGGTGAAACTACAGGTTATAGAGTCTCTGTGGGAAGTCTCTATACTGAGATTGTTTGGGAGGCCTTTTGCTTTCAAATTAAATGTCAGCTAGAGTGCATCAATATCATGGGTGTACATGCCTAAAAGTGATGATACAACCTACTTCATTTCAATACAGGATGTATCACATTATTTTCTTTCACATTCTCCTATGAAAGACAAAGCAACAAAATTATCTAATTAATATTGATTTAGACTGTTATCATCCACTAGCATTAAAGAATAATTTTTAAGATAATTAATTTTTAATGAATATTTCACTGTCATGTAAATTTTCAGCAATGATAGAACATGGCACTTAACCCACTGAAAAAAGTTAGGGAAATATGAAAACATTTTGGAATTCTAAAAAAACCCCACTAACTTGCTAACAGCTGCATAAAACATTTTTAAAGCTATGACCTACTGTAAGCATAATACAAATATTGATTTTTACTCGGGAAAAAAATGACTGTATGCTGAATATTTAATAATGGAAAGATTGACAGGAAACACACTGTTTCCAACCCAGAATGTCTAGTGAACTACAACTATTTAACAGCAGTCAGTATACATACTAGCTAAGCAATAAAAAACAGCCTACCAATATGTTCATGTTTGCACAGATGTTATTTAATTTGTCAAAAACAAAACACTTTTTATTTCCTTTTACATTAATTTGTAGATGTTACATTAAAGAAAATGTCATCTCAGCCTCTACAGATCTCTGAAAATAGTAGATGTTTTGCTTATTTAGGGTTCTTACTACTTCAGAAAGAGAGATGTGAATGGGGGGAGGAGGAAAGAAGGAGGGGCGGGAGAAAAGGCAGAAGATGGGGATAGAAAGAGAAATGGCTGCATGCTAGAATGTAATCTATCATTTTATATTTGTTTTCTATTATTTTTTGCTCATTTAAAAAAATTCAACAAAACACATCCCAAATTTTGTAAAGGAGAGATGACATAGTAGGATACCCCACATTTATTAGTTATCTCATGCTTTAATATAAAGAATACTATAAAGAAAGGCCCAAAAATGCATTTTTTAAAAAATGTATTGCTTATGAAGGCTCAATATCAACAGTGTACAAAACTTGCCCCTGCTTATAAATGAACACTCTGAATAATGGAGACTGATGAACAAGGATACACTTAAACTAACAAATATGGTATCTGTGAAGCAGGAACTGTCTGCTGAAGAGCAGCATTGGTGATCCCTACAATTTCAAAGGGGAAAACCATCCCAAATCAATTGCTCACAGATTCCCAGAGCTAATGTCAAAGTGTGAATCATTCAGTATGCTTTTACAGAAATTAGCAGCAAGACAGATGGTATCAGCTGTTTGCTCCAAAGTATAGCATATATGATAATGGAGGGAAATGAAAGATAAGGATGGAAGTGGGGCCAAGTGGGGTAAAGAAAGGACAGGAATTCATAGAGAAAGGAAGAGAATTAATTTGGATATAATTCCTGGGGTTCCCCCGAGGCAAAGAATGCAATGGCAGTGGGTATGAGAGCATAATTGTTTTTCTGTAGCATGAACAGTCAGGAAGTGAAGACTAACGTAAGGATAACATTTGATGTGGCATATATACGTATGTTATTGACAGCAACATCTTTAGACAATTAGGAAGCCCATGTATCAGGAAACAAGAGAAACAGTTTACAAAAAGTACCTAATGAACACAAGGTTTTAGAGAAAATATAAACTATGCATGTAATCCCTTTTTTTTTTTTTTTTTTTTTTATTATAAAATACAGAATACTACAATGTTATTCAGGAGACTTAGTTTAGCTAGGGTATTCACTGTGAAACTTAGTAGAGTAAAACCATCAAGTACAGCAACTTATTTTCAACAAAAGCCAAAATTTAAAAGCAGACAAACTGATGGTGGTTTTAGAGCAGATTTTTCTCTGCTCTTTTACCGAAGGAGCAGCATTTTATTGGTCTATTGACATTAAATCATTATAGAGCATTTTGAAATGGTCAAACTGCCTACTTCCCTTAAATTAGTACAAGCCTAGCTATTTCATTATAAATTCAATGTCAGAAACTAAGTCTTGGAAAAATAAGGTTTAATGATCCAAACCAGGATTATAGTGCTTCCTTCCCTCACAGTAAAGCTCTCCACTACCTGAAGCAATACTACATTTATGGCTGTTATAAAGCACCCTGCCTCTCATTTTTATTGTATTCAGCTGAGTTCCTTCATAACAACATTCATTCCACTGAAATACACAAACTCTTTTACTTTAAAAAACAGCATTAAGGAAAGCAAGTACTATATTCCTAAACATTCAGGGACTCACAGGAACCCAAAGGGGTATATACAGCTTATTACAATCTGTGGTGCTCCAGTGTCATTTTACATTGAAGGTGCCTTCAAGAACTAAAAAAGCACTAAGGACTATAAGCAGTCTTCTATAAACTGAAGGAAAAAATAGAATAATAAGCTCTCAGCTGTAAATAAACTGATTAACATAACTACTTCATATTCAGCACAAATTAGCCAGGAATTGTAAATCATTGTACTGGGTTGAGTGAGTGGTGGAGTTTTTTGGTGGCAGGGGAGGGGGCTATCGGGGAGGCCCCTTGTGAGAAGCTTCTCGAAGCTCCCCCACCTCCAAGTCAGCTCCACTTCTGTTTGGGAAATTGAGCCAATCAGCTGCGCCTCTGCAATAACGTATTTAAGAAGGGACGTGGTGACGGGCAGTGGGACTTGTGAGGAAGAGTTGCTGCAGCTGCGTGAACACCAAGGTCAGTGGAGGAACGGAGGAAGAAAGGAGGGAGGAGGTGTGCTGGAGCAGAGACCCCCCTGTATCCTGTGGTGAGACGGCAGGGCAGCCCCCCCTGAAGATCTATGGTGGAGCAGACATTGATTTGTGGCCTGTGGCTTCTGCTCAGATGATCAAGGTTCTGTGCCCGAAGAAGGCCGGGGTCTCATGGGAAAAGGCAGCCCCGCTGCTGTAATTCAGCGCTGGGAGGATTGCAGCATGCGGGGGTGTCCCACGCCAGAGCAGCTCGGGAAGGGCTGCAGCCGTGGGAGAGAATCCAGTCGGAGGAAGTTAGTGACCCATGACAGAGCAGTGTGGGGAACGCTGCGGCCCATAAGAGGAATTCATGTCGGAGAAAGTTTGTGGAGGACTGTCTCCTGTGAGAGGGGGACCACGATGGAGCAGGAGGAACAAGTTTCGGACACTCCCCTCACCGAAGATGAAGAAAGTGGCAGAGCTGACTGCACCCCCCATTCCCTGCCCCTGCACTACTGGGGGAGGAGGTAGAGATATCGGGAGCAGAGATGAGCCCGAGAAGAAGGGAGGGGTGGGGGGAAGGTGTTCTCAAGATGTGGCAATGCTTCTCACTGTCCTACTCTGTTATGTGTTGTTAGTGTCTGTAATAAATGTATGTTCTTTTTTTCTTCCCCTAACGAGTCTGCCTTTTGCTCGTGATCATAAAAGGGGGATTTTTCCCCATCCCAGTCCTATCTCGAACCCCAAGCCTGGCTCTCTGTCCCTTCTCATTGCCGGAGGGGAAGGGAGAGAGAGCTGCTGCATTGTGGTTGGCTGCAAATCAGGCCTAAACCACAACAATCATTTAACTTCACGAATTTTGGTTCCATACCTTCATAATCAATAGTTTAAAATTAATTCAAGCATTCTCCAAAAAGCTTCTGTTACTCTTATACAGCTCAAGTCCTGAACAGTCCAGAGAATTAATTTCAACATCTGATAAGCTAAACATTTCTATGTTTTCAAACCCTGAATTAACAATTTCCAACCAGGAATATATCTGTGACTGTTTAAGATCCCCCCAACATAAGAATTAACATATTAAATTAATTCTCAGTGCTTTTACTGGTTTTGTTTTCAGATTACGAAGAACCTTTTTTTATAATAAACTATATTTAGTCTTTAGAAATTTGTTTTATGTTATTTTTAAAAGGACATGTGAAAAAAATTTAAACTTTTGAATAAAAAAATTAGAATGGATTACCATTTGAATGACAGGCTATCAATTTAAACCACAAAGTTGCATCTACACATTTAGAAATACAGCTACAAACCACAGAAAGTAATGAATGAATTGAAATGAAAATGCAATGAAAAGACTATAGTTCAAAGTGAGCAAGTACAAGGTCACGTAGACCAAGAACCACTCTGGAAATAGCGTGGGACAGATCCAGAAAACTGATAGTATCTTTTCCTTAAGATTTTGAATGGGCTGCTAATCACTTTCTATCAGACGACATCACAGTGATGCACACGCTGACAAATTAAGTAATTCTCATGTAACACAGCAAGGAAAGTACTCTGCTTGCGTACATCGACCTCCTCGAATGACACTGTTATTCTAGATGTAACACAGGGTGCAACTCCTACTAGCTGATGCACTTTTATTTATGGTTTCCATCAGCTTTTGAAATTCCTCAGGAAACATCATTTTTTCCATCCAATATAATGTGTGATCTGTTTTGTGCATATTTTTCAACACCCAGATGGTGAAGATACCATGTAACAAACACATCACACATTCTTTTACCTTCATAAAGAGTTCCTTGAGGCAAACATACATATTAAAAAGACCTCACAAACATGTACTGTATGATAATCCCAGTCTGTTTGGGTTTCAACACTTTCATTACCAGTACAGTTCCAGAACAGAAACTTTCAGTTGACATTGGTCAAGTCTGTTTTTCTTCTTTTGGGGAAGGGTAGGTCTGAGCTTCTTTTAATAAAATATCAAAGGCTGTTAACAGTGTTAATGAATGACAAAAAGCCCATCTTGATAAAACTCCAGTTATTTATTAAGTACCTTAAACATAGTTTATTGCTCTGTTCCTGTCAATAATCATCACAATTCAGATTTTTAAAACATTTCAAATATTGGAACATCTTAATAAAAAAGCATATATGAAGCATATATGAATATACTACTCACCAATTTCAATCTTTCCAAAGGTACTCTGCTAGTGTCTATCAGTGTACGTTCCGTGACATTACCAAATCTAACTTCTGGGATGGCAATTGCACATATTACATGTGCCCACCTGTGAAAAGTGGCAAGTCAAGAATACCACCAAAAAATCCCCATTGAAGTACAAATGATTAAGATGTTTTGTTAGTTCCTGTGGGGCTTCTCTTTTTTTAAAAGGCAACCATCTCTACACTCTTCCATATTAAGATTTCCTAAGAGTCTTTGAAGCATACTTAACAAACCTTACAACACTATCACTTTATGAAAATACAATTTCAGACAGGGTTTTATTGTGACCTTTTTTTAAGCATCTTTCATATTCAATTTATTAAGTGCCAAGGTTTTGTAGTTGTGCTATCCAGGCACGTATATAAAGACCACGCTATTTGACTTGTGTGCAATTGATCACCTACAGCATTTTGGATTAACATTACTCAGGCCTGAGTAACTATTCTTAGGCAACACACATGACCACGGTCAGTCATACATCTATCAAAGTGTAAAACAAAGTAAACCATCAAGACCTTCTATTTACAGACACAAAGGCACAGAAGCAGCAAACCAATCAGGCTATCGCTGTAATTCCCAACATGAACTGGATCCCCTTTAGTGGTAAAAGCACCCGTCAAGTGCTGAGGACCAGTAAACATGCAAAACTTCAGTGCAACTTCAGGAAGCTTGTCAGATGATGCTACGTGCTTCCTATACTCATCAGTAAGAACTGCTATATCCCTCAAATCTCAAAATAAGAAAGGTTAAAATGAAACTAAAAAAAAAGTCTGGAATTAATATTGAAAGTGCATATTATATGAAGTAAAAGAGAAGCTAATGACATTTTTATTAACCAAGCCTGAGACTACTTCTAAAATCTTTTTTCGGGGTAGACAACTAGTAAATCTGAAAGGGAAACATTTCCATTCTTTGACTTATATTTCCTGCCATTCACTGTACTTCTCATTACCCCATTTGCTCTTTTTTGTAAGCCCTGGATGCTTGCCTCACTCTACTTTCTGCAGATCTTCAGAGAATCACATTATATGATCAGCTTTGCTCATGTAGAACGACACATAGGGACTAAACAAACTGCCATGTGACTTTAACATTGTTCTGCCTAAAGTGTGAAATGAGAACCGCATGTAAAGATAACATATCAATTAGCAAGTTATACAGTTCAGCCCAAATAAAAGCAGATAAAGCTTGTAGATCTATAATTACATTATGGTAACAGTTTTGTTTTGTTTGAACTTAAAGAAAAAAGCCTTGCTTTGAGACCTGTTAATTTTTAATGGCACCCTTTTCATTGCTGCCTGCCTATCTGCAAAACTACACTGTCTAACCATCTAAGTTTTATGGGACAGAAATGATATAAATAAAATGCCTCTTCAGTAAATCTTCACTCAAACCTTTATACTCTCTCATCTCTCAATCTAGGAGGATTCAAAACAATTTCTGTGTTCTGCTGAAAAGAAGGAATCTCAGCTCTCTTATATAGCAAATTGTTACCCCATCACCACCATTTGATTCATTAGCTTTTAAATCTAAGTGATGCTCATCCTATATCCTTAATCAATATGTGAGAGGGAAAGAAGGAGGGAAGGGAATGTACAAGTTGGATCTTAGACTTAATGGAGAAAAATAAGATAACTGAAGCATACTCTTCCAAAAACCCTCAAAAATTTGGAATGGTAGCTAGTGCTTAAAGATAGATGAAAGACTCAACAATATGTAGCAGCTGTAAGTTATCATGAAAACAGAAAAACAATGGTTGAACTACTTTTACAGAACTCTCGTTTCATAAATCCGTAACAGTAATCTACAGAGGGATATAATGGAAAAATAAACACTTTAAGCATAGATATGCAGAGAAAGGCACTTTCTGCAAACACCTGTGGATTTTTTTCTATTAATAAATCTTACAAAACATTTCTAAAACATTTTAATTGATCTATAAGAAAGATGTTTGTATTTTCAAAGATATACCACACCATATTTCATATCCTGGTTTTGGCTGAGGTAGAGCTAATTTTTTCTTCTTCCTCGCTAGAATAGTGCTGTGTTTTGGATTCAGCAGGGGATTTGGTATGAGAAGAGTGTTGATAATGCACTGATGTTTTTAGCTGTTGCAAAGAGATCACGGCCTTTTCAACTCCCCATGTCATGCCCATGTGCAGGTGCACAAGAAGCTGGGAGGGAACAAAGCCAGAGCAACAGGTCCAAATTGGCCAATGGAATATTCCATATCATGTAACATTATGCAACATCATGCTCAGTATATAGATATGGGTTGACCAGGAAGCTCATTTTCACTTTTGGGATTGGGGTTTCAGGATTTTCTCTTCTCTGAGATCACTAACAAGGAATGGGCTGTGCATCCATTGGCGGGTGGTGAGCAACCACATTGCGCATTACTCATCTGTATTTTCTGTTATTACTATTATTATTATCATTATTATTTTAATTTTCTTTTACTTCAATTAATAAATTGTTTTTATCTTAACCTATGAGTATCCTCATCTCTACCCCTCCAATTCTTTCCCCCATTCCCTGGGTGTGGGGGAGGGTGAGTGAGCAGCTGAGTGATCTTTGGCTGTCAGCGGGGTTTAAACCACCTTAATACCATCAGGAAATACCAAAAGGACATGCTGAATTGTACCAAGTTGACACTTTTTTCTTGTCTGTTTTGGTTTGTGTGTTTTTTTGTTGTTGTTTTTGTTACTTTTTTTTTTTGTGTGTATGTGTGTGAGAAAAGCAAGTAGCAAATTTAGGGGAGTTTAAAAAGGAACTAAAAAGCAGATGAGAATTTTCACATGTTGTTTAAATCCTCCATTAAAATGGTTACAACATTAATACTTACTGAAGGTAAGATCTGGCCTGTGAATTTTACATAAAATCTTAACTGGACAATTTACAAGGGTAATGCAACCAATTGCAAATCACTGGTAAATAACTTTTTGCCTGGTAAGTGGAAAAGAATGTTGCAGCTAGATCATCTCTTACCACTGCATTCCAAAGTGTTAAAGAAAAAGATCTAATTGATATTGCTAAGTTATTAAAACAATTTAATTAATTATAAGAAGATTCACAATGCATAAAACTGTTCCACTGTTGGGCTTTAAAAAAATATTAAGCTGCAGTATTTTCCATTTCATCTTTGAGTTACTTGCTATAGTGTTCTTTCAAGTACAGAGAAAAATACTGATGCTGTTAATAGCATGATGTCAGCAACAATACTATCTTTGACAGTGTCTGATAGAAATATATTTAAAAAAAAGCACACTTCAAAATCTAAAATTATTTCATTATGATTCAAATTAATTAATAAAAAAAACTGTTTCTAGAAGTTCAAAGGTATTGTATTAATTCTGTAATGATAAATTTCCAGGACCAAAAAGAAAATATACTTTGCTGTTTGATAAGACTTGCCCATGCAAACAATGACAAACGAGCTCTCATTTATTTTCTTTATACAAAGGCCAGCAAAATAAAATTCGGAACAAGTATATGTGTGCAAATACTAAAACAAATGTACATTTTAACATCTAACTATTTCACAAAATGCCAGTGGCACCTTTCAATAGAAGTAATTTTAGTTCTGCAACAATTCAACTTAAAGGAACACTGTCAAGTAATTAGGTTTACAAATACTTTGTACATGAGAATGGATTGGGAATAATGTTTAAAACAAGCACATAAAATTCCGAAGTATACATTACTTACTTCTTGTCAGTAGTTCTCTTCAATGCACCACCTCTCAAATTGCAGAGACAACATTCCTAAAAATAAAAATAGTGTAGAAAAAAGTGAGCTTTATTGACTGGTTACAAATCAGTTTTTTTCAGCTGATCTTAAGGATATCTAAATTGCCAACGTAATTAATTACTAGATTACAAACTGCCATTTAAAAGCATTGCATTTCCTTACAAAAAAAAAAAAATTACAAGAATACAGTAACAAGATAAACAATTCAAATGAGCTAAAGAAAAATAAATTTTAAGTATTACTCATAAATAAAGTGCCAGAGTCACTCTGAAAGAGATACCAAATAAAAAGGCATTTAATCAGAACTACCACAGAAAGGCTGGAATTGCCATACAAATTACCAAGGTAAAACAAAGTAAAAGGACACACAATTAGTTTAATAGAAGTTACTGAAAAACTGACTCACAAGCCACTGATCCAACTCAAATACTTTGAAAACCTGCTTGTTCCTGACAGTTCTCAAATTTATAAACCTACCAGAATATGGGGCAGGTTATCTTATTTTTTTTTTTCCCAAAAAAATTTCCCTTTGCTGCAGTACATCTTCACTTCCATAATCTTCAGAACAACTCCAAAATCCACCTGCTTTCAGGGAACTCATCAAGGTATATTTCAGTGGTTCCCAGATAATATGCCAAAAAGGGCTTTTCCTACCTCTACTTAAAACTGTGCCTTTGAATAGATATGCAGGCTTTTCTACTTTCCAAACCTTCTCTCCCTCTCTTCAGCCTACTCCTTTTCTGAGTCTATTCTTTTCCATTTTTGTTCATGCTTTTCATTGTTCCTTCAGTAACAGATGAGAGAGTGTTTTCAATGTTAGTTATATTTCATGTCTCCATTTTTCTGGTCTCTACAAAGAAGCAAGTGCACAGAATAAAGTCAAGATAACTTTTGCCTGTATATCTACTCAGCAAGCTTGTCTCCTGAACGTCTAAATTTAAGTTGCTTTTGCAGGGGAAAAAAACAACCAAACAAGCAGCAAAAACCCAAAGAACTGTTATGTAATGCTCCAGTCCGATCTCATCTTAGAGCCTCTAATAATGAAATTATTAATGTCTGCCAGAAATCTAATTGAATGCTTTATTACATTTCCTATGAGAAAGACCTTTCCTAACTAAAAAAAAAAGACCTCTTTGTGACAACTGAAACTTCTTTGCAATATAAGCACATAACATTTTGCCTTACCTACCAAAACCATGGAGAACAGGTAACCCATCCTCATAGAGAGTACCCTTTTAACTACTTAATATCAATGTAGAGTTGTGAAGAAGAGAAATTGGGTTTGTTACTTTAACCACAAGTCTTGGGATGGGATCTAACATGTTCCAGATCACATTGCACTTTATAATAGTAAATAGTCTAATAAATCAGGAAAACAAAGGCTCAGAATACCAATTCCTTCAGGTATTCAAAAGGGAGTAACCAGGAACCAGTAGTTTCAGCATATAAAGTAGAAAAATGGAATATAAGGAAGTTGCTATTGCAGCACTGACTGGGAGCTTCAGCTTGTACTGTTTCTAATTTTTGTTTCTACGCTTAGATGGGGAAGGACACTATTGCATAGGATTTCTTGATTTGACTGTGAGAGAATAAGTAAAACTGTTTCTTCAAACCAACATTTGTATTCAGTTAGCTGCATCTTTGTGAGGTTCTCTTGCTGCATCTTAGGAAATCTGCTCTTGTATCAAGCCCACCACAAGACAGAAGATCGCTGGGGTAGGAGGGGTAGTGGAGAGAACAAGTAGAAGGGAGAACACAGGAAGGAGGAAGGGATGGAGGGAGACAGGGAGAAAGGGATAGCAGAGGGTAGGGAAGGATGGATCAAGGGAAAGAAGATGACAGGGACAGAAGATCATTTCTCACCTAAGCACCCACACTCTTGAAGGTAAAGAGAAATGGTGGGAACCAGAATTACTCTAACATTATTTACTCTTCTGCTTGTCTGTCAAAGACAGATCAAGTCAACAAACTTCATGCCATTTTAGATTCACATACAAATTCAGTCTAATGTATCACTTCCTATTTATTTTCAAATAATTATTCTTTGCTTTGCTCTTCAACCACTATACATAATCATCTTCCAAATGTTTGTAGATTTTTATGATATCCTAACATCTTGGTGTGGTTTTTGCCAAGCTATATATACTAAATTCCTTAACTACTCTTCAAGGTGATTCAAATAATCTTCACATCCTCTTTCTGTTTTTTGCCCTTCTTTGGATGTCATTACAATAATGAGGTGCTGCCATTTACACATATATACTCTCAAGCTATGACAAGAACCATTACTATCTTTTTTATCCTGAATATATTTTGGTTTTGAAAAAACATCATTCAATTGGAAAATTCACTGAACTACATGGGCATGAAGTAAAGAATTTCCTAAACTCGATGCTAAGGAATCACATTATTTAGGCTTTATACCCTTAATTCACCATGCTGAAATTATTCTGAAATAATACAACATAAATTCCACTAAACAGTTAATGAGCACAGTGCACTTTTTCCAGTAAAGTACCACTACAGTCATAGGAAATTTGCTTCTAATTGGCATTCAGTTCTCAAAGGCAAGCACTTGTATGTGAAAACTACAGCATAAAACAGTCTGCAGGTCTTTAAACCTACCTGGGAATCCTGAGAACTACCTTAGCACAACCACAGAGCAATCCTACAGCACTGCATCCTATTCAGTCTGATTCACCTTAGAATCTTGCTTACAAATCAGCAGAGGAAAGATCTATTTCTTCAACTCTTCCTTTGACTGATTTTGACACACAGAGTGAATAGGTCATCTTTTCTGCCATCAGTGTGGTTTATAAACAGAGCTTGGCTGACCAACAGAGTGGTTCCAATCAGTTAGTTTTATATATGACAGTTGGAGGTGCAAGATAAAACCAGCAAAAATAGATGGGCACACATCTCCATGACCACATGAGAGTAACAAAATAAGTGTGTCAAGTAGCATAGAAAACAATAATTAAAATGGAACAGTTATTCAGGAAAAGGCAAATATTACAATTTCCTAAAAAAAGGAGCTGTGTAGGACTTGTCAATCTGATCCCCAGCTCCTTCATAGTTCTGCAGGAGTGTGAAATGTACAATGTCACAGTAGAATAACATCTGCAGACTGGGGAGGAGAGCATGAGTCTGACTCAACAGAAATCTTTACAGAGGGAAAAGCTTCATTCCCCACTTTCAGATGTAAACGTTCAGTGGATCCCCCACCTGTGGATCCCTCACAATGTTTTCTTAATTGAAGCACTTTCTCTATGTCTGCCATAAAAATCCTTTGACTGCTTCTCTGTTTTGTGGAATAAGAGTGGCTTTACCCCTACTTCATTAGCTTTGATGTTTTTATGCCAACTTAATTTGAAATTCATTACTTGAACAATGATTCCTGCTTCTAATAGGTATTTTTTACTTTTAAGGAAAACTTTATCTAATTATCTGCTGTGTAACTTATTCATACATCTACAGAGAGAGTCCAAGGCCCTAAAGAAGTTCCACAAATAAATTAAGCTAAAATACCACAGGAAGAGACTTTATATAATATATTACTAACAATTTCTTCTGAAGGTTTACTGATTCTTAATATCTGTAAAAATAAAGAATTGTGAATTAGGCACTGCAAGAGACAGAATTCATAATCCTCACCTATGAACTGCAGAGCTTTCACACTAGGTTAAAAAAAAAAAAGACTTAAAAAAAGAGGAAAAAAAAAGGAGGCGGGGAGGCAACCCAGAAAGAAGGTGACTGCAGTTGGTCAAGCCAGGAAAGAGTGAGAGATGCCAGTAAAATAATGAGAATAATGGAAAAGGGCTTGACTATCCTCATTACCAGCTAGAAAAAGACTTAACTTATGCAGGGCCTGTAGGAACCAAATTTTATCCCTTCTCAAAAACCATCTGTACAAATCTTTGGTGAATAGATAGTGGTGGTGGGTAATTGTTCACTGTCTGCTGGATACAGGCTATAACAACTTAGGAACCATAAGAACTAGAAAATTTCAGCAGTGTTCACAGCAAACCTGTGTGGGAAGGATCACAGGTTTAAAGCACAATAAATTGACTTTGTAAATCATGCCTGCATTGCAGGATATATTGACATATACCCATACAACATGGCTATTACTTTACCTCCAGTTTCAACATACTGCAAGCAATGAAAATACAGGGGACTTGATTTTTAGAAAGACTAACATTCCTAATACAGGTATACCCGCCATGGATGGCAGTGAAATCATGTGTACTTTAGCAGTTTTCACACATGTTCTCACAGAGAAAGAGCGTTTGTGTATCCATGTGCATCTGCTCTCAGCCTGTCTGTAAAAATCAGAATAGGAACAGACTTCATTATAGAGCATCACCTTAGAACATATCCTATCTCTGATTCACTACTACTTTGAAAATCCTTCAAACAAGTAATTTTGTCATTTGTATTTGCACTAAATAATAATTTCTTAAGCATATTATTTTACACTTATCTAAATTAAATCTTAGGCCATTTTAAATCGCTCACCTGCTTAAAAATTCTCCACAACATTCTAGAATTAAAGAAGAATACTCTTCCAGTATCTGTATAAAGTAAGACATCTCCATATAATGCACAAGCTTTAGCACACTAACATTCTCTTTACCTTTTAGCTTTTTAGTGGAGACAATGTGTTTTTTCCATAAGAATACAGATCATATCCACAGTTTCTGGACTAAATACTTTCCCTTGCTTACAGTGAAACTGAATTTTGCAACCAGCATTCCTAATCTACTTTATTTTTAATTTGTCTGTGTCAACCACTGCTAGAAACCACAGAAAAAGCCTAAAGTAAATGTGAATTAACCATGCTTTCTTTAGTACACACATCCAAAAGATGGATCACCTTTTTTGGATTGATATGCCACTACTCAGGCATAGCTACATATTAATTATTGTTGCATGGATAAATAATGCACAAAAAAACAAGCCTGTTCACACTCATTTATATTTTAAAATTAATGCATTTAGTTGTCTTTGGGTA